AGCCGCGAATCTAAAATAGGTCGCTATAATGCGATTATCAATGGTAGCAGCGAATGTTAAACGTGTACCCCGTTGAGCTGAGAGAACGTTGTGTATTTGGCGTTGAATTCGTACAATGACTATAATAGCTCGACAATGTCATTAAGCGATTCGTTGGTCAACATCCGCGTGGATCAACGTGACCAATTTGTCTCTATTTAGTTACGACAGCAATGTTCTATTTTTACACACAAAACGGTTCATTTGACTCTATACGATGCATTCTCTGCATCACCACGGTATCATTAGTCAATCTAATGAAAGTTATATTAAACAGTAATATATTGCAAAATGTTTTGCTCACTATGCTTTTTATGAATGATGGAACAAACAAGAAGCTATCAATTATTATTATTAATTATACGCTATTAATAATAACATTAATGATAACATAGACAATACTCGCGTAATATTTTATTAAGCTTTAATTATTTATTTTTGAATTGTTATAACTGAATATTGAATATTTCAATATATTTACGATTTTATTTCGAATAATATCTACTTGAACTTTTTAATAATTAGAAATATTTATCTTATTATCTTCCATGACATGTGAAGCCGTTAAAGATTGTTAATATTAAAAATGATATATATATATATATCAATAATTAATAAGATTATTTTATTTTTTGTGATTATAATTAAACAGGAAAATTATATAAAAGAATTGTTTACACATAATGGTATAAAGTGATCGTTATTTTTTCATCGTGAAATTGCAACATATGTTTTGCAACATTTTATATTCTGATTGACAAAATCTAAAATTACTACTTCAATTGCAAAACCGTCTTCAGCGTACATGCGATACTTTTTCACTCTTCTTCCCCTTATTCTCACCATGGTAACACACCAGCATCATCAATTTCAATCTCGAAGCTCATCTTTCGATGTTCTTAACCCATAACTTCTCATGACGCAGTTTTCATACGTCACAAGCCGTGTCTCAATGCGAGATTTTACTCTCCAGGATTATTCGAGATTATATACGAGGATATTCTCTGCTCCCCTCTTTTTACCAATCTCGGGAAGGAAACACCCCGGTACCACACGACAGGATCCTTCTTGTAGCGCGGATATAACGCATGTTAGTCGTGCTCGTGAGCAAACAACCATAGGGTTGACTGCAATTAAGACTTCGAACTCGCCAGTCGACGTTAATGGATATCTAATTTGCTCTCGTTCGACTTGCGGTCCAAAGGCGACGAGGGTCGCGCAAGCGAAGACAAAGGGAACCCGTGGAAGGAGCCCGGAATCCCGGGGTAAAGGGAGAGAGAAAAGACAGTGATGTTCATTGTCCTGTCGCGAGAGTTAAGTTAGGTAGGAATGACAGGTCGATATCGCGAACAAAAACGTAAGACACGCGGTGACAGGAGGTGTGGTATAGACAGGAGGTTTCTTGTCTACGCTCCGTAGAGAAGCTTGCGCAACTACGTAAAGTATACGTATTATGTAAAGGCGAGGTAGAAACAGCATGTAAGTACCAGTAACGGAAATTGGAAATTGGTAAGTGCATGACGCGGAGATTACGTTAGGGGTGGGGGGTAGATATAGTTTGATTTCGCGCGCGGTAACAGTGACTGTGCAAACAATTTTCGTCAACATACGGATCGAAATTATATGTACGTATCTACCGCGTACACGATATGCGTTATTTTCGTATATTAGATTGCTACCATGTACACGTTTGCCTTCGTAATACTGCTGTCAAAAATACATATTGGAATATAATAGCGGAAACGTAATATACGTATAATAAACGATTAATTTAAACGGTAAATATTTCCTATAACTTCCGAAACGAATACAATAATGGAGAATAATAATGTATTATGCAAATTATATAATTTATTGTATCTTGTACACGTACAGGTACACAAATGTGTGCAACATATATGTAATTGACGTTTATAAACATATTGATTATCGGATAGATTTTAACAGTTATAAATTATGGAAAGACAGAAAAACATGATTAAATTATAAAATAGAAAGATAACGCAAAGATCCCAAAAGATAAATATAAAAAAAGAACGAAATCACAGATTATAAAAAGGGATAATCTTCCTAAGTGAATACTTTGCGGTGTGTTATATTGACTATCAGTGGGGTCAAGTCGAGAAACAGGAAATATCCGGTTCAAGAATAAAGGAAGTGAGGAGCAAGAGAGAGAGAGAGAGAGAGAGAGGTGGAAGAAGAGGAGCTCAGTTGTCGACATACCGCCGTAATTTCCTGACGGCGTTACTGTGCCCAGAAGAGCAAAACGCCGTGGAGACGGGAAGGGAAGGACGGAAAACTGGGGTGGCTCGTAAAATTAACGTAACTATATCGAAACCTCGAGCCCTTAACTATACGCAAGAGCCACGCTATGATCAATGGCACATCACACAGCGAAAGCGTACTCCGCCGCTCGCGTTGGGCCTGAAATTTATAGTAACCTGACTCACGGGGCGTTATATCCGGAAACTCCACAATCGCGACGGATAGTGTAATAAATCAAATTAAGAAGGGCGCATCTCAAAGGACGATGCGGTTAAGTTGAGCAGCCGAAGCGACCTGCTTTCGTAATGTACACTTCTTGCGCCGCTCGTGTGATCGTATTTACGGCAGATATTCTGGATTTGAATTCTCGGACTTTGTCAGAGTTTGTATGAAATAACGTGAGAAATATTACTAAGGAAAATATCTAGACTTAAAATATACAGATCTAAATATATCGATAGAATATTTTTTGTAGTTTAAGATAATTTGATTGTGATTAATACGAGTATTATAAATTAAGATAATTTTACCTGTATTACTCATAGTGGCTTTATATTATACTGGTTAAATAGCTTTTAACACTCCAGTTTGATATGTAATGCTAAATTTATAATACTGAAGCATAATAGATCTAATTTTAGATTTTAATTAATATTTTAATTAGGATTTTATAGAGACATAAAAATTCTATTCTATTTCTAATGAAGGAATGTCAATGTAATTGAATCGATAATTTCTTAGATTATTCAATCCGAAGAACGAATGACAATAAATATTAGATTAAAACATTCATTAAAATACGAATATTTTCATACAGGAAATGGAAAATGTGTCTGCGCGCGTGTTTAAAAATACATACATATATTATACTGGTTTATGGATCCACTTTGAAATAAAATATTTTATCGTAAGAGAATAAGCAATTGGCTAGAAACTAATAATCGCACCGCTTATCTTGCCGCGTTATGTGCGCGCATATCGGGTTAATAACAGTAGAATCGACGCAGCACCAGGCAAACATTAAGACCTTAACCACGCGAACGATGCTGCGTGATGATCAATGGCACGTCACGCGCCGTGTTAGAGGCTTATGCGCTCGTATAGTCGGGATTTATAGCGATTTAAGTGGCCTTGAGTTCCAAGAAATAAATTACCCTCCCGCGCTGTTTATACTTTATAAAATTTATCGTACATATGTGCCAATTACAAGTTTCGTATATTCAAAATAATATACGATTAAATTGTGTATAATTTAATTAAAAATTGTTAAATATTCAAAAAAAAAGATGGCTCGAGAAAACGAAACCTTCGAAAAACTGTGAAAACAGTAATTACTGTGACAATACAGTATCCACTTAACTAATAACAATTGCAGAAGATCCCAATAATCCGCTATTAATAATCAAAGAAATTAATTTTCACGATTCGCGGTGAATAAAAAGACAAACGCATTGAATAAGAGAGGAGCCTTGATAACACGATGTGCAACATGCGACAGAAGGCTTTGTAATTCGCCGATATCCGAGATCTGTAGAGAGTCCGGGGTTTGATCAGGTTTGTAGTAGCTCGAATTGAACATGATGAAAATTCCTTTCAAGATTTTAATCGTGACAAATCGCTTTGCAAAGCAGATAAGGATTTTCAACATCAAGGATTTTCTAACCGGAAACAGATAAGTGGCAAAAATCTATCACTTAACCATTCGATAACCACAATTTCTGAAACAGTCTACGCGGACTGGAGATAAAATATCGAAGCACTAGATATACCCCTGGGGGTTAATAGTTTTATGATGAAATCGCGAACGATAAAATTTCTTACGGGAGATAATGACATTAGAAATTTGCAATGATGATCGCTTCACGTTTAAAGTAGAACTTAAATTGATGGTCTTTTTGGTTTTGTATCGATTACAAATTAATATTTAATGAAATTGTTGTAATATTGTGTCGTGCATTATTAAAACTTATCATTCTTGAATGAAACTGTTACTTTTATATGATAACAATTGATGTATTGTACTTTAATAACCAAAATTACATTTAGATTAAACAATAATGCATATAAGTGAACATATATTGATATTTTCAATATATATGGAAAAGTTGGAATTAATATCGTTCGAAGAATAACAATATGTAAAATTTTTTGAAATTAGTTAGGTACATTACTTGTTAGATACATTTGTGTACAGAAATCTTTTGATGAAACTGTAAAGTGGATTCTTTTCTAAAAAAAAAAATTATATTAGAGTTATAAAAGTTGCTTCAATCTTAATCGTGGACAATTTCAAAGCTATTAGTACTTTGTTATTAAAGAAAAAGCGAATCCAAATTGCTAAAAGAAACACAAAAAAACGACGACACATTCTACATAAATTGGATTTGTATGCTGGCTAAATATATAAACGTCTATTAAATAACTGTTAAATATAACGAAAGGTTTACATATACAGAATTATTCATTCTATATGTATATGGGCTCGCGTGTAATGACAAGTGTTATCCAAAATCGCTCGGTGAAGACATCGTGGATTTGAATCCATTTATCTGACAGACTTCCATCAATATCAATTCTCTCCGGCATGACGTTGATAACCAACCTAGTAATCCGTAATCGCGTAATCCAAATACAGAGACAGAGCAAACGTTACGTCACTATCGAGAACCATGAAATTGCAGTGATTTGGGACTCACTTGCAGCGCGAGAATGTGGTACACGGTTAGCCCTCCGCGAGATCACCTCGCGTCACGGCAAGGCTGCCCTCGGATGGTCGACGATCGCTGACGAGCCTGTCTTGTAACACAACACTCGCGTACCCGTCTTAGCCGATCGGGCGATGCCGAATCGGCGACTCAACCCTCGAAGGAGGGTTGCAATCGGGGACACATGATCCCTTTTGCACCGGGAGCGGCTCGATCCTCCGGCCTCCGGATTCCCGATCGTGCACCACAGCGCAGTGAGATCACTTGAAAGCCAGTTCACTCCGCACTTGGCGATCCACTGGCTAAGGCGACATACGAAGGAATGTGTTATCACGAGTGTTGGTCACGAGTCACCAAGGGAAAACTTGGGATGGTCACTGAGCTCGACGATAATGCACTGGCATGTCACACTTGCCAAACTCCTATCCGCGTTGGCAGGTTGTCGCGTGCACTTGAGGATAATCACACTATCCTACACAGTTCTCTTGGCTGCGACCACCCGCTGACGTGAGTTTCTCTTCTCTCGCGGATGAAAGTGTGTCACTTGGAGAACTGACCGCGCGATCGAACGTCACCACAGCGTCACGTAGCCCGATGAAGGAACGCGGTCCCGATTACCGATTCACGCGTCACGAACACCCTTCCTTCCCGGAGTGGCGCTAAAAGGGATCTTCTCGCAACGAGAGAAAATGATTGCTCAAGGTAATGAAAATATTGACAATATGTCAACGGATTCACGACACACGTATATTATACACGCGTATCCACGACGAACTGAAATGCACGCGCGTGTGTATACGGGTTAGTACATGTATGTGCGTACGCGCGCGCGTGTGTATGAATTTTTCGCGCTCGTAGGACGTACGCGCGAGGGGGCACGGCCGACACACATCAGCCCTAGGAGAGACCCTTAGGCCGGATCCGCGGAGTTTCCTTTCACCTCGATTTTCGGTCCCTCGCCACCCCCGCGTTGCACAGGCGCGAACCGCTTTCAGAATTTCCGAGGGTCGGACGACGCGCACGCGGGAGGGAGAGACAGCGAGAGGGAGCGTTATCGTCGGGGTGGGAGCACCGGGGGATTGCGTTGGTGGTGGAAGAGGCGGACAGCGTACCGGGTGTGAGTAGATGGCAAAGCGCAAGGTACCGAGCTCTGCCTATACTTGAAGAGAATAAACTCCCGACTCACAACCAGTTACACCGACATACCGAGACTACCACCGAGGCTACACAAGCTAACGCTGTGCCATCGGCATGAAAAGTAGGGTGCAGTCTTGTAGCTCGTGTTGACCGCGATATCGTGCTTGTGATAGTATTGCTGTTGCCGCTGCTGTTGCCGTCACCGCCGCCGCCGTCGCTGCTGCTGCTGCTGCTGCTGCTGCTGCGTGAAACGGGCGTGGAGGGGACGATAGGAAGGGATGGAGAGATGCGAAGGAGGGGTAGCGCAGGCGTTTTGGTGCACCAACGCATTGATCCCTGGAATTCGTGGGGATCGACGAGACCCGAGTGTGTGTCCACCCTTCGCGAGAGAAAAAGAGCGAGCGACAGGATGGGTGCCAGAGAGAACGTCGACGGTACTACTCGTAGCCAATGTCCATATCTGCAGGTGTGGACCAAACTAGGATTTGAAGGCAGTGAAGCGAGGTGTCATTGATCAGCAATTGTAAATTATTCTGACCTGTAGACCGATTGAGAGAGAAAAATGAACAGTGCTAATGTCTAAATCTTAATAAATCAATAAATAAATTCTTACAGCACGATTAGATACGTAAAGAATTTAGATAGGGAGATAATTAGATAATTGGATTATTTGTCTTATTAAATTAGAAGTCTAAATATTTTTTATACACTTCTCTTTTAAAATGTTTTACAAAATAGATTATATAATAAAAACATTGTATTATTATTATTATTATTATTATTAAAAGATGTAAATGGAAATGTATATATACAACAAGCAAGCAAAGAATTTTTAAAAAGTTTTGAAATATTGGAAAGTGGCTAACTCAAAGGGTATTTTTTCATCGATATTTATTTTGAAATAAATTTTTAAAATAACTATTATATAATAGTTTATGGAAAAATATATACATAGTATATGTACATAAATATGCACATACACTCGCGTGCACGGATACTTCTACACGTACAGATTTTTTTAAATGCACATACGCATATACGTATACATGAATATCCAGACACATTAGCTAGGCCAAATAAAAAGGGTATCTCGTCTCGGCTGGCCGCGATTACTCGTTAATAAAAGAACAGGGGGAAAGATGGAATAAGAAAAAAGTGAGTTTACAGTAAGAAAAGGGAGTTAAAGCAGCACGAACGAGCCAGCACCGAGATTCTATTGATTTTATAATTTCTCTCTTTTTTCTCGTTTGAAAATTCTTTTATTCTATTTTATTGTAAAAATCGTCCGTTAATCTGCACTAATCAAGTCATCAAAATTCATTTAATGACTTGAACGTTTATCACTAGGCTTGTCATTCATCGGTATTCAAAGCATTGTACGATATATATTTTCTCTTTCTCTCCCTCCCTCCCTTCCTTCCTCCCATTCTGTGACAAAAGTAATAATTAACATAAAGTTGCATACAAGTACTTCAAGCTAGAATAAGATTGTGTCTCGAAAGTTCATTTTACTTGAAGATAGAAACATGACTGTATATCAATAGACAAATATGTTATATTTTTTAACAACAAAGGATATTAGTTTTATTTCGAGATATCAAAGTTATCCGTTTCCGTTTCTCACAGAAATAAAAGAGCTTTTCAATATGTGTATGCTAAAAGTTTCATTAGTTTTATAAATAACTATATGTAAAGGAAATAGGTATACATATTACATCAGTTATTGGTTGAAATTAGGTCAATCGGATATACGTTTGCTGTACTATTTTCGAAGAATCAGTAAGACAGAATTAAGTTGAACAGCTTGTTTTCCCTCACACCCAATTTTGCTTCGTCATGTAGTTTTAACTGGGAACGAAGTCCCAGTGACAGGTGCTTTTCTGCAAGCGATTTGATACACTTTCAACCATTTTTATGATCAGAACGATCATCAAACGCGAATCGCAATCTGGGGCGCAGACGCGTAACACAGTTACCATAAAATATTCAGGCTTAGTCTGTATGCGTATACGAAGCGTCGTTGAATAAATAATGAAGAAGGTGGAGAATCCCGATTGGTTCATAACTCCCTTTCATCCCGGATTCTTTTGCTGGTCTCGACATCCACATATCTAAATGCGAAAGACGGAATTAAAGGGAGGAAGATGATTTGCCTCTTTAAAGATTTATTCACATACACACACACACACACACACACACACAATGTCCCAAAATTCGCGACTTAAAATACTATGCCAAGAAAGTTTTTAGAAAATTAAATAAAAAAGTTTATTTAGAAATTTTTTATTTTAAGCAATAACTTCTGAGATGTAAGGGTTTAAATATGGCCAATTACAGACTACGTTTAGATTGTCACTTGTGAGTATTAAAGTGAGCATGTGAAGTGTGCGTTTACCAACGTTTACTAATACTGCACGCGTGACTCATATAGATAGATAGTTATCTAAACGTAGTCTGTAACTAGCCATTTAAATCCTCATTACCTCAAAAATAATCGTATAAAAATTCACAAATAACTTTTGTACTTAATTTTTTTTAAGAACTTTCTTGCTATAATATATTTAGTCGCGAATTTTGGGACACCCTGTACATATGTAAATTTAAGACTTGATAGTTAACTAAAAAGCCGTTTCTTAAGAAGTATTATTACTGTTAATGTATACAATAAAATTTATCATATTATACAATATTATAACTTCAATATATTAGGTGTTGGAATTAATTCGTAGCGTTTTTTAATGAAAGAATGTTATTTATTTCACATGAGCATTAAAAAATACATTAATGAAAGTACTTCCCATCACTTGTAAAACGCTACGAATTAATTCCAACACCTAATATCATATTAACAAGTAATAAAGCCAATTGGTTGATCTCAAGTTAATTATATCGTATAGTGATAGTATATTTATTACAACTTTGTAATGGTGAATAACATTATGCAAACACACGAATTGCAACTTACAAATTGGTATTTGACTACATGTAATTTGCCCGATATATATGTGTACATAAAGTATTGAATACCTCGAATTCATACTGTACAGACCAGTCGTGCTGCAAATAAAAAAAGAAGAATAGAACTATTTTGTTTCAACTAAGTTTGCTTCACGAACTATACAGACTGATATCCTTTATACACGCAACTGCTTTCGAATCATGCTCGTTATATTGATTTAGAGAGAGGCAATAGGGAGAGAGACTTGGAATCTGTAGATACAAATGAGTAAATAAGACCCAAGTGAGTGACGACTTCGGGAGCTGCGAGCTTTCGAATCATATTTCTTTTAGGGAATGGAATAATAATTTTAACATTTTTCACAACAAAATCATTCTCTTATTCTATCGCATTCCGTCCAAGAAAGGCGATGAAATATGCAATAATAAAAACGGAACGATACATAAAAAGATAGATACCTACTTACAGTCAGATCGTCTTGCTTTATTCAAACGGAAGAACGATGTATAACAATGCCAACTATTTTATAGATTCTATAGACAGTTATTTTTAACGATACTTTGAACGTAGCTGTCGCTCGATTATATTTATTCTGTCGATTTCACAAAAGTATCTATATATACAGAAAATAAATCGAGAGAAAAAAATGAATAAAATACGAAATTTATACTTTTAAAATTATTCTTTTGTATGGAGATAAGATTTTAAACATAATTTTATTTAAAGATAAAAATAATGTTTTTAGATTGTCGTCTAAAATAATAAAACATTTACTTTTTTATTTATAAATATTTATAAATATTTTTCTTATGAACTACATATACTTTATATTTATAACAGTCATTTTTTAACTATATGGATAAAACTTGAAAAATTGTCAAACATATACTGAACTTTTCGACTCATGATATATGTATAAACTTCAAAAATATGTAGCTGAGTAATCAACATCCTTTCGATACCCGGTACAATTCCATTGACCGATATTTCAATATTGAAAGTAGCGGATGTAAAATGCGAAACACACATAAATGCGGGCCCGATTTCAAAAACTGCACTTTCGAGTCGCGTTGTTTCCTTCGGATTATCGGGAACCTTATGATATATGTGAAGGAAACTCTGAGAAAAGTAGCGGGATAAACCGGGAGCACAGGATCTATCACGGTAGTGACTACTTTAAGAAATATCAGAGAAACTCCATGGACTCTCAAAGAATGGAATACCGACTACGTTTAAACGGAGGGAACGGATACTCGATACCATTCCTCTGGATAAACCGAGCTTGAGTGCTGTGAATGCTTGCTGACTTTCCCACGACTGCCCCTTCCGTTTTTCTCTCTATCGACGCACCCGCTATTCCTACCGAGGCCCGTTTTGTATTGAAAACCAAATTTCGCTCGTCGACGCTACCGTCGCTGAGATGACGTTAAATCCGATATAAAACTTTTCGCTTCGACGTGGCGCAATGACATCAAGTAGGAAAGAGGCGGAATATGCGAACGATGGAGGAAATCCTATTTTTGCACATCGGTTTTTAGCAATCGCCCGAGGTGAAACGAAAACATTCACGTGTTGCACGAAGAAGAATGAAAAGAAGTATCACACACAATCCAACAATGTCGCTTAATTGAAGTCAAATCTATTTTAATCTGTCAGTAATCAATACTTGTTTTGAGAACTACAAATTTTTATACATCGATATTATTGGTGTTATATGTATCGATCTTTAATTGAACGCTTGCGTGCTTTAATTGGAATGCAAAACTGAAGATCTCGATTTAAATTTTTATAAGTATTACGCGATTTTTCAAATAACGTAATCCGCTTATAAATTTTATAAGATATTAATAACAGATAATATAAAAAAATGGTGCAAAGATCCATCCTGTGTTACAGTTTTGTATTAAATGATTTTTGCGCGAATTTGTGCCCTTCTTATACAAATGCATCTTTGCCTCTTCTTTTTGGTTCTCATAAATATTTCTGTTGATCGGGAAAATGGACAGGCATTTATACTTCCAAACTACCATTATATAGCAAAGTACATATTAGATACGCGTGTAGACAGGTACAGGAAGATCTCCGAAGCTCTCCAGGTAATTCAGTAATCATCTTAGAGTAAGGTTCATAATAACTGCGTAAATGAGAGGGATCCCGTAATTAATTCGAGAGTGCTCGCGAATAGAAAGAGAAAGACAAAGCACGTTGAGCGTACGCAATCTCATCGTATATGAAGTAGAGCCCACCTTGAAAATCCTCCTACAAAGCCACCGAATCAGCATCGTTAATTTATTAAATATTGGGACAGAATCGTTTCCTTCGTGTCTATTTATTACGATGCAACTCGTAGCGCATTTAGTCTCTGTTAACGATCGTTACGTTGCTGAGCAATTAAAAACTCATGAAAATTTAAATATCCATTCTTGGTAAAATATCGCGATTATTGCTACCGGAAATGCTTTAGCTTCGCGATTGGAGAGAAAAAAATTATTATACTATTATTATACTATTAAAATACTTGAAATTATTTCAATATTTGTTATTTTCATGTCTGACGTGTGTAATGTCGTACTTTTTAATTGTAAAATATTAAGATTCGAATAAATATATTGTATATTACAAGACGTAAAATATAATTAATGTTTTGCAGAGTATTATTAAATTCTGTTTAATAATGCTAATT